AACTGGGGAAACGAAATATACCTGAAAATAGTAAAAACCAAACCAGCTCGGATCCAAAATGACACCCAAATACTTAGATCATTCATTTTTGCAAGGGAAAACCAGCTCAAGATCCACCACAATTTGATCTCCACTCCATTTCCCCTAAATCTACAATAGAAAAAGCAAAACTTCGATAAAAGAATCCAACATGAAGCAATAAGTATCCTTGCTGCAAATATCAATAAATTAACTCATCTTGCAATTAAAAGAAGCAAAACTATTACAAAGAGATAACTGTAAATAGAACAAGATAAGATTATTCAGTGTGCTTCTTATTTAATCTGGAACAATTACAGATTCCAAAAAGTCAGATGATGCTCCAAATTAAAAGCCGATGTACATAAAACCAATTCAAATCTAAAATGTTTCTTGATTCCCTTACATCCCACAAAACCACCAAGATGATAAATAGCAATACCACCTTTTACCAACCAAACATTGGTAAAAAAATCCCGAAAGAGAGAAACCTGGATATCAAACAAATGTGATTGGGAGAACCTGAAGGAGCAGACGACGCATCATTAGTAAATTTTTAAGAAAAAAATCATTTCATAAAAGATCAGTCATGTACAATAAAACCAAAACCAGACATTTTATCTTAAAGGACAGTTCCAAGTATTAAGAGAAAACACATAACTTACCCAGCTATTGGCAACAAATTTCCTAGGATTAAAGCAAATATTGCTTATCAATATGCTCCTCAATGGGATGCATTTCGAAGATATGAAATAGAGATAAAAGAATTTTTTACCTTTAAAGGTTAACTGATAAACAACTATTGCAAGCAAGGGAATCCAAATAGCAAAAAATCACGTGCATAATTTTTAGCAATGAAATAAGAAAGACATAACCTGAAAAGTATTTTACCATCTTTCTTATGTATACAAGGTAGCATTTTTCAGACAATTCTTTGCTTCAGTGACAAAGGTGGACTACTTGACAATGCGCCATGGCTTTATTAATGTAAGATGAAATTGCATTGAAGTTTTATCTACTTCCATCAGTAGAATCACTAGGGAATGTTCTTTTTACATTTGGTGAGAGATGTTCTTATTTCTATAAAATAACAATTTTCAGGCTCATTTATCTCCAAACAGCAAATTTGATTTTCATAAATATATAAAGAGGTCTCTAGAAGATGACTTCAAGGTCGTTGTTGGCATCAGGTCGTATATCTCTCACTTTAATGATACTATACAGATTTCTATTACCATATTTCTGATTTTACTAATTACTTTCAACAGCTTCCCATTATGGCTTATGGCAATCATCATAATGTTACTTGATGTATATAGTAAGTGATCACTATTCTTATGCATACATTTCTAAAGCATGAATAGAAGATAATTGTTAATTCTTCTTACTTCAAATGTAGAATGGTACACGCTCGTATGGATATCTTTTGTGCCGCTTATAGTAAGCTAGTACTCCATAGCTCATTCATTTTACTTTGACTATTAGTATGCTCACATGTAATGCCAATAATATAATTGAAGCAACCGTGTAGGTTCTGCTGCTGGTTGGTATGAAACTAGAAATTATCATCATGGAGATGGCTCATCAAATTCAAAATAAAACAACTGTGGTCAAGGGAGCCCCAATCGTTGAACCAAGTAACTCGTATTTTTGGTTCAATAAGCCCAGGTGGATTCTTTTCCTCATACAAGTGACCTTATTTCAGGTAATTAATGCATGCAAAAGGGAAAATTTCTCTTAAGGCTATTTCCACTTCAAAACACTAGTATACTTCAGGCTTTTACATTTTTCTCCCTGGCAATTTACTTCATTCATACTTTGGTAAATTGGTCTTACATTTAGCAGTCAGTGTTACAAACAACATAAAATGCCACTCTATAAAAGAATTTTATTACTGTTAAAGATAAATTCAGAAACAAACTCTTTCGAAAAGGCATCTTAGAAATTCTATAGTGACTAGCTAAATGTAAAATTATTATTGAGTCATGTAGAGCGTAAATACACACTAGCAATATGACAAAGGCATAAAGAATTATCCTCATTCCCAGTATATTGTTCCTTACGACCTCAATAATAAACATCTCTTTAGATTACTTCGAGAAGTTTGATTTAATACTCATCATTGACTAATTTGTTTGTTTATAACTATACAGAATGCATTCCAGGTGGCACACTTTTTGTGGATATGGGTATGTTAAATTAAGGAGACTCTTTTGGCAACATCTTATTCATGATTTACATACTTATTTTGTACTCTTGTCTTCTTGCAGTATTCATTTAGCTTGAGATCTTGTTTTCATGATAACCTTCCACTTAGTATTGTGAAGGTTGCAATGGGCATTGGTCTTCAAATAATGTGTAGCTATATCACATTCCCACTTTATGCTTTGGTGACACAAGTGAGTTGTTTGATATTTGTGAATTGATCATGATTTCAATGGTCACAATATTCACATATCTTTCTAGTTTAAAATATGTGCGACCTTAAAAGGATCTGTATGTCTGCAGATGGGTTCACACATGAAGAAGACAATTTTCGAAGAACAAACTGCAAAAGCTCTACTCAAGTGGCGAGAAGCAGCAAGAGAAAGGAAAAAGCATAAAGGAGGCAGGTCAGATGTTCCGTCAGGATACACGAGCGGTGAAAATACACCTAGCAGAGAGTCATCGCCAGTACATTTACTTCACAAGTACATGTACAAGTCAAGTGCAGCAGATGTAGAAAGCATATCAAATTCACCAAGATTTTACCACTCAGACAATGATGCCTCTGAGATGGAGGCTCCAACATTTAAATGGCGTGGTGAATATGAACCTAGGAGATCGGATCCTAAACCTGAAGATGCAAATATTGTAATCCGGGATTTCACTTTTGGTTCACCTTAACAATGAACTGTTGAGCAATTTTCCAGATGGGCTGTACTAATGAAAGCAATGAGATATCTTATGTGAATATGTAACATGGAAGAATACTACCCCTATAAATTCTTTATAGATTACAGGAAGATAAGTATTTGTGTCCATAAATCTGAATTAAAATCGGACATTCATATTTCTATTAAGGAAAAGCTGCTGACTCCTATTTTTCTATGACTTCTTGAAAATTAACCTCCTGAATAGTAAGAGATCATAATGTCATAATGAAACAGTTTTTACCATATATACTTACATAATTAACAGGGAAAGGAACTTGAGAGTGCAGGTTCATCGGTGTGTGACTGGAGATTCACAAATTCGAAATTGATTGTCAGCGTTTTTAAAGGAATTTATGCCTGATAGGGAGCCTGCCGTAATCCTCAATATAGAAGGATGTAGCTACTACTAAAATTGTTTGTGTTGAATTCTTTCCATTTAAGGTCTTTAAAATGGAATGTCTACTCCTTAAAAGTCAACACCATTTAAAGTGTATTAAGATTATTATTTTGTCTTTTTGCTCATGCATTTGCTAGCACAAAATGAAGGACATAAAATAACTAGTTGTTTAGATCTTTAGTTTCTGTTGTGCAATTAATATCCAACCTTGCACCACAATCTTAAATTTTTAGGTGTCAAACACTTTGAACCATGGTTAGCAAATAACAAAACTTGCAATTTATACCTTGTCTTGCAGTTACTTGATGCATGCATTATTAAAAAAAAAGACTTCAAAGCTTCTAAATTTTGATCCTTGGATACTACAAATTACACAGGACAAGTACGATGTAGTGATCTTTAATATAGGTATTCTCTCATCGAATTTGAATAAAGGACTTCTTTTGAAACCTTCCACATCCTTCCACAAGTAGCAAAGTCTCATATTCTCATCATGTACGCGTAAGCGCACATGACTTTTGCTATCTAAAAAGACGTACATTGATTAATGCAGAAAACATACAAAAGGTATATATGTGCACGGTCAACTACTGCCACTATGGAAAGCAAGAAACCATCTGTTTTGCTCCAATCATAATCAACCTTTTATGTTTGGTTTCTTCTTCCCTTTCAATTTATGCAGCACGAATACTTTTATTATGAATTCATACCCATGAAATTATGGTGCGAGCATCACAGATAGAGGACTCATGATACTTTTGACTTCCAATATCATAGTCCTTGAATCACCTAAAGTTTTGAAACAAAGTCCTCCAAATCAGCTGATTTACTATAAATTCCCATTATTAATTGCTTGAAAGTAATTGATTTACTACCAATATCAAAGAATAGATGTACACAAAACAAAACGCGCTCTTTGCTAAAAAAAACCAAGGACTAATGATTGAACGCATGGTCAAAACCTCCAATTATCTACTGCAAAATTTAACTTTCAAGGGGTCTATAGTGCAAAAATCATGGGTATTTACTTCAGCAAGACCATCCGATAATTTTATCTAAACATTCTGCGAATGTAAAGATATTGGAAAAGAAAATACCACCAAAATAAAGAAGGAAAATAGAAAACCTTGATGATCGTCTGTCTCATTGGAGGGGATGAGCTTGAGAGGAATGGACAGTGCCACAGAGGCAATTGGATCCCTTATTCGTCTTCTTCTCAACTTGAGAGGATACATTTTTGATATCTAGGGTTTTCTATGTTTGGGGAGGAGTTAGTAGGGTTATTAGATATTAGTCCCTGAAAAGTCAAATTTTAAATAATTACATATTAGTCCCTAACATATTTCAAATTGATTGTTAGTCCCTCAAATCCTTAAGGGATCTTGCAATTCGGTCCCTCAATGACCGAAATACATGTTATATTTTACTTCCAAACACCCATCTTGTAGAAAAAAGAGTTATTTGCTCTTTGATACCCTATCTTTTTTAACTTCAATATCCAACAAATCATTTTGACACTTTAATAGCCCAAAGTTTACACCTCTTTTAAATTTGATAGCTTTTTTTTTTCCTGGCACTGTGTTAAGAAAAAATTTACACCTTTCCAACTTTGATATCTCAATACCGTTTTTCACGTTTGGATACCCCAAACTTGTGGTATCAAAGTTTTTAAAAAATGTGAAAGCCCTGTATTTATATTATAAATTTTTAAGGCCAAAAGGACATTTATCATTTGTTCATGTTATTATTTTAAACAGTTTAATGATTTAAGGGATATGTATGAGAGGGTTGTTGGATAGCATGTTCCTAATATGTTTCCTAATTTTTTTTGATAACAGGTTACTGGGATTCCTAATCTGTTTTGGTAACAGGATTCCTAATATGTTTTGGTAACAGGATTCCAAATCTGTTTTGGTAACAGGTTATTAGAATTCCTAATTTGTTTTGATTTTTGTTTTAGAATTCCTAGTAAGTTTTTGGTTTTAGGATTTCTATATATATGGAATGATTGGAAGAGGGAATTGAGCAGCGAAGGGGATATTTGGAGCATAAAAAAGAGGTATTTTCTGGAGCTATTGGTTAGGGTTTTGTTTGGAGAGAATTAGAGTTTTGTTGGTGAGATTAATCGATGAGTTTGTGTGATTTTATAATCTCGGTTTGTACTCTTCTTCTCTATTAGTGAAAACATTATCCCCTTCTTGCCCCGTGAACGTAGGCAACTTGTCGAACTACGTTAAAATTGGTTGTTTGAGTTTGTATCGTTATTTTGCATTGTTTGACCTTCTCTCGACGTTTGTTTGATTTGGTCTCTCGAAGCACATTGGTTTAGTTTTGGCTTTCGCCGCGCACAAGTGATATCAGAGCACAAGTGGTATCAGAGCTTGAGCTACGCTTGGGCTAATTGGATGAGTAGATCGTTTTGAAAGTTCGTCTAGGGCTTCAGTTGGTGATAAAGATGGGATTTTTTCTATTTGTGGATCTCGTTTCCGTCGTGCGGGATGAGATCTTTCGGAGCCTCTTATTAGGGTTTCAATTGGAGATAAAAATCTCTCATTTATCAGTTTAGATCTATTTTTCGTTTGTTCCGCATTGGTTTGTTAGTGCTTTGAGATAGATGGCCGAGAAAGAAGGAGTTGAGACTGGGATATTGGATTATTAAGGAGTGCTTTGACCTGCAGATTGAAGTCTTTTGAACACATTGGTATGAACGAGAAGACCGAGATGGAGTTTGGCACTTCTATCCATCGAGCGATGGGTCTTTTAGGTGGTGTTCATTGCATTTGGGGGCCTTCCAAGAATGCATCATTGGGAGGTAATCGATATTTGGTTTTCGCAATTAGGGACTGTTTTAGGCATTGGTGGGGTGTAACCAAGTCCCATTGGTGTGAAGTCCTAGAAATCAACAACAGATTGAGGAAATGTATTGGCAGAAAGGTGACCGTTGTTCTGATTTTGGTAAGGATCCTTTCTTGCGTTTGTACGGAGCTCATGGCGGTTTGAGACACTTCATTGGAGAGAAAATGTTGGGGCAACGAAATGAGATGATATTTTTGATTGGTCGTTCTTTTCTGAAAAAAAAAATCGGCGTTTAATGTCGAGCATTGGTTTTGGTATTCGGGCTTCGACATATATGAGTCATCTTAACCATAGGTTACCGACTGCTGCGTTTGAAGATTTAGGATCTGGTGGAGCTGCTTCATATTTTGGGTTACGTCGGATGTTTAGTTACCTAACATTTGGTCACATCGACGATGTGAGATTTGATCCGATAACACATTTGAAATTCAGAGGCTCGTTTGGTTATCAGTTGGGAGATTCTGATTTTGTTCTGAGCAGGTATGTCATATTTAACTCTCAACAGGTGAAGAGTGTTGCTCAGATCATTGGGATATCGTAGCGGGTGGAGGGTGATGCTACTCCACGTTGGGTGGAGATTACTTCACATACTCCAGATCATATTGCATCGTTTGAGATTCTAGCTGAGGTGACACAGTTTGGGAATTATTTGGATTTGGATGCAGATGATGAGTTGGTTTTGGATTCGAGTGCAGCTTGTGAACATAGTTTGGATTTGAATTTGACCGTTGGTTCATCTCAGGTTGAGGTGTTTAGTTTATTTCACTTTGAGGTCATTGGGAGTTCTATCAGCCGCAGATTTGTTGGTGAAAAGTTAAGAACTCTTCTATTGGATTGAGGGCTTTTGGAAGCCATTTGATGAACTACGTGAATGCTTGATTTCTTGGGCAAGAGGATACGTAGACAGTCATTTATGATGCAGACGGTTTGGTGAGTTGATACCGATATTTGGAGTTTGTTCGCATTCTCGTTTGGGTTCGCGACTTGTTGTGGATTGAGTCCGTTGTCGTGGATTTGTTCACTTCGTACTGGATGCAACAAGTGAGACGTTTGGTTAGTATTAATGTCGGCTCAGTTTTGGAAAAACTTCGTCGAGGTGGAGAATTGTTGGATAGCATTTCCTAATATATTTTCTAATTTATTTTAGTAACAGGTTATTAGGATTACTAATCTGTTTTGGTAACAGGATTTCAAATCTGTTTTGGTAACAGGTTATTAGGATTCCTAATCTGTTTTGTTTTTTGTTTTAGAATTTCTAGTATGTTTTTGATTTTAGGATTTCTATATATATAGAACGATTGGAAGAGGGAATTAAGCAGCGAAGGGGATATTTAGAGCACAGAAAAGAGGTATTTTCTGAAGCTATTGGTTAGGGTTTTGTTTGGAGAGAATTAGAGCTTTGTTGGTGAGATTAATTGGTGAGTTTGTGTGATTTTGTAATCTCAGTTTGTACTCTTCCTCTCTATTAGTGAAAACTTTATCCTCTTCTTGCCCCGTGGACATAGGCAACTTGTCGAACCACGTTAAAATTGGTTGTATGAGTTTGTGTCGTTATTTTGCATTATTTGGCCTTCTCTTGGTGTTTGTTTAATTTGGTCTCTCGAAGCACATCCGTTTGATTTTGGCTTTCGCCGCACACAACAAGTGGTATCAAAGCACAACAAGGGTGTATCCTGGTTCCTAAAATACTACAGGCAGAATGAAAATGTCGATTCAAATATGACTTGACCGGGCATCGCTATGGAGGTCTCATTCTTTCTCTCAAAAAATAAATAATTAATTAAAATGGCACAAATGATGAGGTAGTTGTGGAATTTTACCATGTACAAAATCAAACATTAAAACCCAACCCTTTCCTTGTTCCTTTCATGCATTAAATTCCATCACATAACCGCCCACCAGCTAATCTGGTAGAACACTTACAAGTCAAGTCCAATTAACCGTGGCATCACTCAGACCTTGTATTTTACGAATAGACCTCGGCTGGTGGAGGAGAGAAAAAAAAAAGCATGGATACTTTGAAGCTGGCAGCAAATTTCCAACCTTTACAAGCCTTGGCCCTCGTATGTCCGCTACAACTGCTCTTGGCTCTGCTCCTCTGTGTGCTCACTAGCGATAAAATGGAGATGAAATTAACTATATATACTTACCTTCGAGCTATTCCCTTCCCCAACGGCTTTAGAGAGGGGAAAGAGTTAGCAGAGAGATCGACAGCTGAAGGAGACACCGAGCTGGGCAGTGGCGCTAGTGTGCTTGGTGATGGTGGTCATATCTAATGCTTATGGAGCACGGGATTCATAAACTTGGACACGTGAGAGTTCTACAAGTTTTTTGTGTTTGCATTTTTGGAAGCACTAACTAGCTTCCTAATTGTTGTTTGGTTAGCTTTGGTTAATGTTTGTGTTGTTGCTATATAGTGGTTTCATATGTTAGAATGGGGTGTAGATCAAACCTCATTACTGACGAGGAGCGCCGGCGAGGAGCTCCGACGAGCTCGATGTCGACGCAGGCGAAGCCACAGGCGAGATTGAGCTCGACGTTCGAACCCACCTCCCCGAGCTCTGCGTTCGAACCCCCCTTTTGCTGTGCGTTCGAACCCCCCTTCAACTCTGCGTTCGTTCGACCTCGGCGTCTTTGTTCGACCTCTGCGTTCGGCTCGAACTTGGCGTCGAAGCGAACGCTGGCGACAGGCTGTCGCCAGCTCTCCACATTCGGCTATAAAAACCCCCCTCTCTCGCCTAGGGTTTTGCCGCTGAGCCTTCCCCCTTTCTCCGATTTTTCTTCCCTGGCGGCGGCGGAAAACCCCCAAATTGCAGCTGCGATTTTGTGATTAAATCCCAACATTCAACAGTGGTTGAGGGGATTAAAGAAGAGAAAGAAATAGAGATTTAAAGAGGGGTTTTTTAATTGTGGGGTATTTATTCTCAAGTGAGAATTGAAAGGGTTCATACCCTTTAATTATTAACACTGTAGCTACAGTGTTTATTTGAGAAATCTCAGTTTTGAGATCTGCTCCTAAATTGTAATTTCTTGTTTGATTAATAAGAAATTATCTGTGTGGCTCCCGAGGACGTAGGCAGTTGCCGAACCTCGTTAAATCTTGTGTACTGTTCTCTATTCTGCGTTTTTCGTTGCATTAGGGATTTCGGCCTTTAAATTCCCAACAACTGGTATCAGAGCGTGAAACGATCTAGAACAAGTCAGATTCAAGTGGGAGCCATGGCCACAGATGAGGCAAAAATGAGACTTGAGAAATTTGATGGAACAGATTTCGGATTCTGGAAAATGCAGATAGAGGATTATCTGTATCAGAAAAATCTGTATCAACCACTATCGGGGAAGAAGCCAGATTCTATGAAGGCAGATGAGTGGAACCTTCTAGATAGACAAGCCCTCGGAGTTATCAGATTGACGTTGACTCGCAATGTTGCGTTCAACATAGCGAAGGAGAAGACCACGGCGGGTCTTATGACAGCACTCTCAAACATGTATGAGAAGCCATCAGCTGCGAACAAAGTTCATTTGATGCGATGGTTATTCAATCTGAAAATGGCGGAAAGCGCGTCAGTAGCACAACACCTCAATGAACTTAATACGGTTACAACCCAATTGAGTTCAGTTGAGATTGAGTTTGATGAAGAAGTTTGGGCGTTGATATTGTTGTCTTCCCTACCAGAGAGTTGGAACGCTACAGTCACAGCTGTGAGTAGCAAGTTCGGCGACGTTCGTGATTTGGTTCTCAGTGAGGAGATCCGACGGAGAGAAACGGGTGAAGCTACAACCTCTTCAGTATTGCATACAGAGTCAAGAGGTAGAAATTCAACCAGAGGAAACGGACGAGGAAAATCAAACTTCAGAGGTAGATCAAAGGACAGGAGGTCCAAATCAAGGAATCCAAGCAACAGCTCGAAGGCTATCGAGTGTTGGAATTGTGGAAAGACCGGGCATTACAAGAATCAGTGCAAGAGTGCACAGAAGGAGAAGGAGGCGAAGGCAGAGGTGAATGTCACTTCCACTTCAGGAGGAGACGACGCATTGATATGCTCTTTGGAGAGCAAGGAGGAATCTTGGGTGTTAGATTCAGGAGCGTCGTTCCATGCTACCTCTCAGAAAGAATTCTTCGAGAAGTATACCCCCGGAAAACTTGGATATGTATATCTTGGTGATGATCAACCGTGTGCTATAGTGGGCAAAGGCGTGGTGAAAATTAAGTTGAACGGGTCAGTATGGGAGCTGAAGGATGTCAGATATATTCCCGACCTGAGAAAGAATTTAATATCTGTAGGCCAGTTGGCTGACGAAGGATATACCACGACCTTCCATGAAGATGATTGGAAGATCTCAAAGGGCGCAATGACAATTGCCCGAGGCAGGAAGACTGGTACCCTATATATGACAGCAGGTGCACGTTGTTCGATCTCAGTTGCAGCAAGCAATGAGACTTCAAAGCTGTGGCACCAGAGACTCAGTCATATGAGTGAGAAGGGGATGAAAATCATGCACACAAAGGGAAAACTCCCAGGACTGCAGTCAGTGGAGATGGATATGTGTGAAGAATGTATACTTGGAAAGCAGAAGAGAGTCAGCTTTCAGACAAGTGGCAGAACCCCCAGGAAGCAGAAGCTAGAGCTCGTTCACTCAGATGTTTGGGGACCAACCACCACTGCGTCGATTGGTGGGAAACACTACTTCGTGACTTTTATCGATGATCACACTCGGAAAGTATGGGTCTACTTTCTGAAACATAAGTCAGAAGTGTTTGAGGCTTTCAGAAGATGGAAAGCCATGGTCAAGAATGAGACCGGTCTGAGAATAAAGAAGCTCAGGACCGACAATGGCGGTGAATATGAAGACACCGGATTCAAGAAGTTCTGCTATGAGCACGGGATCAGAATGGAGAGAACCGTGCCCGGCACGCCTCAGCAAAATGGAGTAGCTGAGCGAATGAACCGAACGTTGACAGAGAGATCCAGAAGCATTCGAGTACAATCAGGCCTACCGAAGCAGTTCTGGGCAGAAGCGGTCAACACAGCAGCTTACTTGATCAACCGAGGTCCATCGGTTCCATTGGAGCACAGAATACCAGAGGAGGTATGGTGCGGAAAGGAGGTAAAACTCTCACATCTTAAAGTTTTCGGTTGTGTAGCTTACGTGCATATTAGTGATCAAGGCAGGAATAAGCTTGATCCCAAGTCAAAGAAATGCACTTTCATCGGCTATGGTGAAGATGAGTTCGGCTACCGCATTTGGGACAACGAAAACAAGAAGGTGATCCGGAGCAGAGATGTGATATTCAACGAGAAGGTGATGTACAAGGACATGCACAAGACTGACGACTCAGAGAGCGAGTCCATATTTATAGATGCAGATGATGTCCCGAGTAACCTCTCGGAAGAACCCAATGCAGAGGGTCCTCAGCAAGAAGAGCCTGTTGGACAAGATGGTGCGCAGGAGCCCGACGCACCAGCTCCGATATTAAGAAGATCTTCTCGTCCTCCTGTACCCAACAGGAGATATATGAACTATCTGTTGTTGACAGATGGTGGGGAGCCTGAAAGCTTTGATGAAGCTTGTCAGTGTGGAGATGCGAGCAAGTGGGAGCTTGCCATGAAAGATGAGATGAAGTCTCTCATCTCAAATCAGACGTGGGAGCTAGTTGAGTTGCCTACGGGTAAGAAGGCACTCCACAACAAATGGGTGTACCGGGTGAAAGAGGAGCATGATGATTCCAGAAGATATAAAGCCCGGCTAGTTGTCAAAGGTTTCCAGCAGAAGGAAGGAATTGACTACACTGATATTTTTGCTCCAGTGGTAAAGCTAAATACTATCAGGACCGTGATGAGTATTGTAGCAATTGAAGATCTTCATCTCGAGCAGTTAGACGTGAAGACGACGTTTCTTCACGGAGATCTAGAAGAGGAGATATACATGCACCAGCCAGAAGGTTTCTCAGAAGAAAAGAAGAAGAACCTGGTGTGCAGACTCAAGAAGAGCTTGTATGGCCTGAAACAAGCCCCAAGACAGTGGTACAAGAAGTTTGATGGCTTCATGCACAAGGAAGGTTTTCAGAAGTGCAACGCCGACCACTGTTGCTACTTCAAAAGATATCAGTCCAGCTATATCATCCTACTGCTGTATGTTGATGATATGTTAGTTGCAGGAGCAGATATGGAGGATATCAGAGTTTGAAGCAGCAGCTGTCAAAGGAGTTTGACATGAAGGACTTGGGTCCAGCGAAGAAGATCCTTGAAATGCAAATCACGAGAGATAAGAAGAGAGGTCTCTTGCAGTTATCTCAGACGGAGTACATCAACCGTGTTTTGCAGAGATTTAACATGGGCAACGCCAAGCCTGTGAGCACACCCTTGGCCAGCCACTTTCGTCTATCGAAGAATCAGTCTCCTCAGTCAGAAGAAGAGAACGAAAGTATGACTCAGGTTCCTTACGCCTCAGCTATCGGAAGTTTGATGTACGCTATGGTCTGTACGCGACCAGATATTGGCCATGCAGTGGGAGTGGTCAGCCGGTTTATGTCGAATCAAGGAAAAGCTCATTGGGAAGCGGTCAAGTGGATTCTGAGATATCTACGAGGCACCACACAGAAATGTTTGCACTTTGGTAAGGGAGAGGTAGAAGTGCAAGGGTACGTAGATGCAGACTTCGGCGGCGAAGTTGATCACCGAAGAAGCACCACCGGCTATGTATTCACCGTTAGAACTACAGCTGTTAGTTGGATGTCACAGGTACAGAAGATCTTTCCCTTATCCACTACAGAAGCTGAGTACGTTGCAGTGACTGAAGCCAGTAAAGAGATGATATGGCTTCAGGGTTTGTTGACAGAGCTGGGATTCAAACAGGAGAAGAATGTTTTACACAGTGATAGCCAGAGTGCGATACACTTGGCGAAGAATTCCGCATTTCATTCTAGAACGAAGCATATTGCGCTTCGGTACCACTTCATCAGATCCCTGTTGGAAGATGACGTGTTGAAACTGGAAAAGATTCCAGGAAGTAAGAATCCAGCAGACATGTTAACAAAGACGGTGACTGTTCAAAAACTGGAGTTGTGCGCAATTTCAGTTGGCCTTCATGCATAAGATGATGAGGGCGGAGCCACACAAGAAGAGGAGCTTGATGAGATAGCCTGTTGACGGCGGTTTGATCTCCAAGTGGGAGATTGTTAGAATGGGGTGTAGATCAAACCTCATTACCGACGAGGAGCTCCGACGAGCTCGATGTCGACGCAGGCGAAGCCACAGGCGAGATTGAGCTCGGCGTTCGAACCCACCCCCCGAGCTCTGCGTTCGAACCCCCTTTTTGTTGTGCGTTCGAACCCCCCTTCAACTCTGCGTTCGTTCGACCTCGGCGTCTTTGTTCGACCTCTGCGTTCGGCTCGAACTTGGCGTCGAAGCGAACGCTGGCGACAGGCTGTCGCCAGCTCTCCACATTCGGCTATAAAACCCCCCTCTCTCGCCTAGGGTTTTGCCGCTGAGCCTTCCCCCCTTCTCCGATTTTTCTTCCCTGGCGGCGGCGGAAAACCCCCAAATCGCAGCTGCGATTTTGTGATTAAATCCCAACATTCAACAGTGGTTGAGGGGATTAAAGAAGAGAAAGAAATAGAGATTTAAAGAGGGGTTTTTTAATTGTGGGGTATTTATTCTCAAGTGAGAATTGAAAGGGTTCATACCCTTTAATTATTAACACTGTAGCTACAGTGTTTATTTGAGAAATCTCAGTTTTGAGATCTGCTCCTAAATTGTAATTTCTTGTTTGATTAATAAGAAATTATCTGTGTGGCTCCCGAGGACGTAGGCAGTTGCCGAACCTCGTTAAAACTTGGTTTACTTTTTCTATACTGCGTTTCTGTTGCATTAGGGGTTTCAGCGTTAAATTCCCAACATCATAAACATCATAATAAGGCTATGAGTGAAGCTTTGGAGAAGATCAAAGCAGGTATATATGAGAATATAAAGCTCTTGTCAAGCTTCTTTTTGTCATGGCCCTTTATTAAAGAAAAAAACTACCATGAAGTAATCAAAGTTTTTGCACTAAAATGAACAGTTTTATTGGTGGAAAATAGCACAAACTAAATATACCACATACAGACATGCTATCAAAAAATTACCCATGAGGTAAATACCATGAAATTTAATATATATTTTACAAAAGCTGCATGAATTTTCAAATAAAATCAATAAATTACTATGAACGTTTACATTATTGTCATTTAACTATCTTGGACTCTAGGTGTTATCATAAAGCTATAACATATTTTTCTACAGTTGTGTTATTTATCTGTTAATTTGAAAGCTTGTGGTAGTTTCTACAATAAAATAGTTTATGATACTTTTGTGCAAAATCTCTAATACTTCATGGTAGTTTTGTCAAATTGTCCATTTTTCATCTCAAAACAGAGGTTTTTATTTAAAAGGATACAAAAATCATTTTCTTAATTCTTTTCAAAGGTCGTCGCTTTTATTAACAACAATAAAACTTTTATTGCAACTTTTTCGGGTCAGCTACATGAATCCTACACTTCCATTCAATTCCTTTGAGTACTATCTCTCGTGCATAATCATATCTTTCTTAATGGTTTCTAACCAAGTTCCCTTAAGCCTACATCTAGTTGATGACTATCAATGTCGTTAAACTAAACACAATAGCTTCCATTTCAAGTTTTTGTGGGTTAGTTATCTATATACCTAGTCACGTGACATGCAGAGTTGATGCTTTTGGGCTTCATATCCCTGCTTCTCACTCTTGGACAAGATCAAATTTCTAAAATATGCATCCCCGCTAAAGCTGGGAATGTTATGCTCCCATGTAAACAGTCCGACAATTGCTGCCATGATGACAATAATAACAGGAGAAAATTACTCTCGTGCGATGATGAAGGACACTGGCGCCGTGTTCTAGCAGAAGCAGTGATAGATCATTGCTCCAAGTATAACGTAAGGAAAACATATCGCTTTTAGTAAAAGAAGTATTATCATTTGGGTATATAATTTCATTATTTAGTTGTAAGGCAAATTATGATAATATCTAACTTGAGTTTCTAACCTAAGTTTCTTACATATGAATTTATCATGGTAAACATGCACAAGTACAGATATAATACGAAAACTAGGATGTTGATATAAGAGGCGTCACAGGTCTAAAGAAAAGCTACTGATAGGGAGTTAACCTTCTTTTGTACAGAGAAAGAAAAAATAAACAGAGAAACGATAATAAGAATTTATAGACTTACTAATGACAAGAATTTAAAGAAATGCGTAAATTTGATCCATGTATCCCAGCAGTGGTTTTGACTCAAGTACAAAGGGTTTGTGAATCTACGATTATTAATATCGATCGATTTTGTTGATTTTGCAGGATAAAGTGCCATTGATCTCAAAAAAAGGAATGCATCAGTTGCATATTTTCATCTTTGTAGTTGCCATATTCCATGTTCTCTATAGTGTTCTCACCATGGCTTTAGGAAAAGCAAAAGTAAGCAATCTTCATGCCACAAATGCTTGTATAAGAAAATTGAGATTTTATATACTTAAGAATTCAACATCCTTCCTTCATAATCAAAGTAAATAAGTTGTTTACTTGCTATTGATAGATAAAGAAATGGAAGGCTTGGGAAGCTGAGACTGCCTCACTATAAATATCAATTTACTAATGGTAAGTTTTCTTTCTGAAATACATCATAGAAATTTTTTTCATTTGAAAGATACGCCTTTCCTTCAATACTGATATGTGACATTATTTATTTATTTATTTATTTATTTTTTGCAGATCCCGCTAGGTTTAGGTTTTCTCATCAAACTTCTTTTGTGAAGCGCCATTTCGGCATGTCTAGCACTCCGGGCATAAGATGGATAGTAAGAGACAATTCCTCATTTACTAGCATCTATGCAATGCATATATTCAATGCAAATGTAGATTGTTATAATAACTACAAGCAATAATTTTAAGCAATGACGTATAATTGAGATAAAATTATACATAAAATGCAAACGCATACAAACAAAAGCTCTTGATTTGTTTGATTAAAAAAAATTCCTCCTTAAACAGCACATGGTTGAATTCCACAAGACTAGCAGCCAACCAATATGGGTAAAGAATTATTAACATGGACTCTGTCAAACACAATAAATAACCAACTTCTAACAGAACTAGTAGTTAAGTCATATTCACATAAAACAAAGTACCAAAAGGCTGCTTAGTTCTTGGTATACAGTTGTAATTATTTGCACTGGAAATAGTGAAAACTAACGAGGCAATGAAATATACCTGAAAATAGTGAAAACTAAACCACTTCAGACCCAAAATGCCACTGAAAACTTAGATCAATAATCTTTGCACTTGAAAACCAGATCCAGATCCATCACAATTCGATATCTCCACAATTTTCCTACACCTGCAACAAAGTAAAAACTTTATAACAGAATCCAATATCAAGAAATAAATATCCTTACTGCAAAGAATCCAATACATTTAACTCTTCTCTTCCAATTGAGGATTTTTCAGTACTTCTGTATATAATCAAGGATACTTATGCATTCCCGAAACCAGATATCTTACCTCAACGAAGTACAGTTCCAAAAATTAATAGGAAAACACAAGTTATCCGACCATTGGCAAGAAACTTCCGTAAGATCAACGTGAAAGATGCTTTACCCTCATGTTCCTCCTTTGGATGTATTTACAGAAAGGAATTCTGTAAATTTAGCAGATAAATGCTAAATAATTACAGCGAGCAACAGAATCCAAATACCAGAAAGAACACGTGTCATAATTTTTGCTAATGAAATAAGAAAGATATATCCTGAAAATTTTTCTACTGTATATCTTATGTATACAAGTTAGCATATTTCAGACAATTCTTTGCTTCAGTGACAAAGGTGGACTACTTGACAATGTGCCATGGTTTTATCAATGTAAGATGAAACTGCCGTGCAGTATTCTCTACTTCAACTAGTAGAATCTCTCTTCTTTCTTTTTTTTTTTTTTTTTTTGGAGAATCTCTCTTCTTTTTTTTTTTTTTTTTTTTTGGTGATAAATGTTCTGATTTATTTCATATAAAATTATGGCTTACAGGCTCATTTATCTCCAAATAGCAAATTTGATTTTCACAAATATATAAAGAGGTCTCTAGAATACGACTTCAAGATCATTGTTGGCATCAGGTCTCATATCTCTCACTCTAATGATAAACTATCTGCAAAGTTCTTTTACAATTTCTCTGATTTATGAAGTTCTATCAACAGCTTCACAGAATGGCTTATGGCAATCAACATGATGTTACTTGATGTATATAGTAAGTGATTATTATTGTTATGCATAAATTTTAAAATAATGAATACAATACATTTTTAATTCTCCTCACTTTTAGATGTAGAATGCTATGTACTTGTATGGATATCCTTTGTGCCACTTACAGTAAGACATTACTTCATAGCTCATTCGTTTTTACTTATAGTAAGACATATCTTACGTTGATCCAAAAGTATGACAAAAACATGTCTTACATTGATTCAAAAGTATGACACTTACACAAAACTATGACACAAAACTCATGCATGTTTGCAATATTTTGCTTAGAATATAAAGGCGATCTAGTCTGCAATAGGTTGTCTACATGTTCTACGATTGTGACCATACTGTTGACATCTACTACATTGTAACTCTTTATGGGGAATTGGGGATTCAATCCTGAAGGAATGTGCTTAGTTCTTGGTCTTCCACGAAGAATTGTTATTGTTGGCGGCCGAATCACCATATTTTCATCATCTACATATGGCTTGTTATCGCCAGGAATTGGGTATATTGGAAAGGAGTAACATTTACGGTATGTCTCCACACTAAAGTAGTGAGAAATATAGGAGTAAAGAATGTCGTTATTTTGTCGAATTACTGTAGCCGCATGTTTGCAAGGTAGCCCCAACTACTTGCCAAGTGCATGTGTGATCATTCAAATCTACTTTAACGGTGGAGAAATCATATACCCGTACCTTTCTGTAGTAGTAAAAGTAGCATAAAGACAACATGATTTGCTCATTGATATGAATATGGTGCTCTTCCACAATAGGAAAAATGATGTGTTCCACTTGTGGAATGCCTCCCGCCTTTCAAAACTCATCTTCATCATTTTCTTATGAATATCATCAATTGTTTAGGTAATTGGCAAATAACGAGCTTCTTTGTTCCAAGAATTGAATGACCTCCCGCTAGGTTTGATATCAATCATCCATATCTACACGCATATCAATAAATAGTAAGTATAGAGATACATATATCTAAATGATTTACATATAAAATTTGCATAAATTAAAATATTAACATTTCCCATGAAAGTAGTAATTAGCCCAATTTTCTGGACTCATCTTCAACATTTCATCATAGGCAATCTCTGATTTGTTTCGTAGCTCGTTGTATTCATTGTCATAGGAACGAGATGTGTATGCATAAGCAGCTCTCTTCATAGTTTGCACACATTCATCTTGTAAAAGTAGCGTAATGCCTTTCTTTGATAAGTTATTCTTAAAATTAGCCAAAAGATGAATACAATAAAAGTGATGTGACCATGGAAAGCATTTCTTTATGGAATTTTGAAGTCTTTTGTCCCTATCAAATATTAAAACCAGCTCATCATCTAGAGTATATGGATATTCATCATTGAAGAGAATGTCTCGAATGCATTCCAAAAAGCATTCACAATTACTCTCATTCTCCGTCCCGCATATGCAAATTGCTACCGAAAACATTCACTCATCTTCATTTAGAGCAGTTACAGCAAGTAAGGTTCATTTATACCTATAACTAATAAGAGCAATTATGAAACAAAGTCTAATATGTTATTATGAAGAATGGTACATTAATGCAAGTTTTGATTAGATTGACCTCTGTCATACCTATCAAAAAGATGTAAACCATCCAAGAACAACATTGACCCGCATCCCTCTATAAACCCCTTCCAACAAACATAATAAGACACAAATACTCTTGTAAATCTTTCATCTTCATGCTCTAAGTGAACAATTAATCATGGATTAGTTTCCATATTTATACTTATACCATCGGAGTTGGTCATACGAATATTTAGTATCATCATACAATTCACGTTGAGCTAGCTCTTTTCCCCACCAAATTTTATAATAAGGGATGTCCAAACCAAATTCTATTTTAAGCTTCTTCTAAAAATCAATTGAGTGATAAGTGGGTTGTTCTTCCAAGATGGATTTGATATGATTAGCATTCCACTTATAAAATACTCATCTATATCCTTCCTTTCCTATGCCTCCTCCCAAACAATTATGAGAACTATAATTTTTTTTACATAAAATTGATCATTATCTGTATGATGGGTGCAATGAATCATCCATTCACAGTTTGTCGCCTTGCATTTTGTTGTCACTCATTTGCATTCATTTTTTACAAAAATAAAGTTAAAACCTCATGCAATAGAGTAATTACTTAAACTCCGCCGATAATGCTTAACATCATCAAATTCTTGACCAACACTTCTAATTGCATTGTGTCATGCAAGAGGAATCATACTAGAGCTCCCAACTTCCCAAGACATTTTGGGAAGACGAAGGATTTTGTGAATAAGAAGCATGTTCTTCACTAGAAGGGATGTACATATTTCTGCATAGAAAATTGTATAAGAGTTAAAGAAAGTTAAAACTTTAGAATTAACGGTAAAAATATAAATGTACATCAAAAGTGTAAATGTCCTTATATGGATGGTATTAGATTGTTGCCCAAATAATATCTTTCGATTCATCTCAGCATTCATAATAACTACGTTCTCCTTGTAACTTCAATGTATATTGAACATTATCGAGACCTCATCATCATCACATACACACACATAAATTTCTTGTGTGTGGGGGACTTTGTAAGTCAAGTGCATCATGTTTGCACTACAAACAATTAGACTTTGCACCGCAACCACCAAATCATTGTAACTCCCATTGACATATAATTTTAAAAAGTGATTATTTCCTCTAAAATCCGTCAATGCATAATACAATTCTTCATCCATCTATGTTTTGTCACAAAAAATAAACAAATTTATGGAAATTTTCATCAAAGATTGACAACTAAAATCAACTTTAACTAACAATAAAATGAGTGGTTGAGAAATAATTTTCATGAATAAAATGAGAAATTAATGTGAAATAATAATGTGAAATAATTAATGTGAAATAATAATGTGAAATTAATGAGTGATTGACTAAAATCAAATTTAACTAAAATTTCATCAAATTTAACTAATTTAACTAATTTTTATGAATTCATGAATAATAATGAGAAATTAATGTGACATAATAATGTGAAATTATGTGAAATTAATGAGTGGTTGACTAAAATCAAATTTAACTAAAATTTCATCAAATATAACAAATTTAACTAATTTTATGAATTCATGAATAATAATGTGAAATCATTGTCATGAATAAAATAAGAAAATAATGCTATAAACTTAGTAGTTGAGTTAAATGCAAAATTATACCTTTAATTGCTAAGAAAGTGATGAATATCCACCAAAATCACACCCTATACATTAATGAAGTTGAGAATTAATTGATGGATTCATAAGAGTGGGTGAGAATTAATTGATAGGCTTATAAGAGGGGAAGAATGTAGTAAAGAGAAAATAATGGATGAGAGATGGAAATTAATTGGGAAATAGAGAGAGAGAGAGAGAGAGAGAGAGACGGGTGGGAACCATGGGGGGTTCCCACCATTTCTCTCCTCTCTTGCGCCTAACCGCATTTAATGCGATGTGTAGGCGCGGGAGGGGAGAGAAATGGAGGAACAGCCCCCGTCTCTCTCTCTCTCTCTTTCTCTCTCCATTTTATTAAGTTTTTTAATTTTTTTGAAAGAGGCCCACTTAATCAAGAACACATGAGATATCATGGAAGGGTATAATCAGATTTTAAAGAAAATTGGGGGCCCACATATGCAAGTATTGTATTGTGGAAGTTGGGTTTAAAGGCAAATACAAAAGGATAATTGGGTTTAAAGATACAAACAATAGTTATTGGGTTTATAGATAAAGTAGAGTAAACAATTGGGCCTAGAAATAAAAAACCCCTATTATAAATTTGATGCAACCGTGTAGGTCCTTCTGCTGGTTGGTATGAAACTGGAAATTATCATCATGGAGATGGCTCATCAAATCCAAAACAAAACAACTGTCATCAAGGGAGCTCTAGTTGTTGAACCAAGTAACTCATATTTTTGGTTCAATAACCCCAAGTGGATCCTTTTCCTAATACAGCTGACCTTATTTCAGGTATTGTCTGTAAAAGATAAAATTTTCTTAGCCTGTTTGTACATAATAAAGCTAGTATATTCGGCATTTTACAGTTTTCTAATAGGCAATGTAGTATATGTATGCAGTGGAATGGCATGATAAGTGTTTTTGCATTTAACAGTCAGTTTTGCAAACTACCTAAAATGGCCATCTTGGAAGGGGGGAAAAAACATTTCTTACTGTTACACAAAAGGTTTTCTTGAGGCAAATTCTATACAGTGACAAGCTAGATGTAAAATACTTGTTGAGCAACGTTGAGAATTAATGCATAATAGCAACATGTCAAAGGCATAAAAAAGTACTTGTCCTCCTCAATACAGCATTCCTAACAACCTCACAATTAAACATTTTGCCAAATTGCTATAAAAGAAGATGGACTTAATACTCATTATTAACTAATTGTTTTACTAGTGTGCACCCCGTGCAAAGCACGGCCTCCATTTTTTTATTTTTACTACAGTAATTCTGTATTTAAATACAGTTTTTGTAAGTACCACAGTAATATATTGTAGCATGAATAGTTCTCTTTGGATCCTCCTATTGTGCTACAGCGATAATATTACAGTATTTACTGTAGTATGAATAGTGAATCTTGGATTCTCCCATTATTATAGAGGAATAGATGTTGATAACCATCGAGAACGCATTCCAGGTGGCACACTTTTTGTGGATATGGGTATGTTAAAGCTAAGGGTCCTTTTTTTCCGGCAACATCATATCCATGGTTAACATACTTATTGTGTATCGAAATTCTTGCAGTATCCATTTGGCTTGAAATATTGCTTTCATGGTAATCTCCCCATTAGCATAGCAAAGATTGCAATGGGAATTGGTCTTCAAATCATGTGTAGCTATATCACCTTCCCAATTTATGCCTTGGTGACACAAGTGAGTTGTTCCGATTTTTACAAATTGGTTGTATTTCAGCGGCACACTATTTACATTTCTTGCGAGTTGGAAAATGTACAACTGAAAAAAGAGTTTTGTAACTATAGGTGGGTTCCCACATGAAGAAGACTATTTTTGAAGAACAAACTGTGAAAGCTCTACTCAAGTGGCGAGAAACCGCAAGAAGAAGAAAAAAGCTTAAAGGTACCAGATCAGATGTTCCTTCAGGATACGCAAGAGGAGAAAATACACCTAGCAGAGGATCATCGTCTGTACATTTGCTTCACAAGTACAAGTCAAGTTCAGCAGACGCAGAAAGCTCCTCAAACTCACCTAAGGTTTTACCACTCAGATAATGATGCCTCCGAGATGGAGGCTCCAACATTCAAATGGCATGGTGAATATGAACCTAGGAGATCAGACCCTAGAGTTGAAGATGCAAATATTGTAATTCGTGATTTCACATTTTGCTCACCTAACTATGAATTTCAAGCAATTTTCCTCATGTGCTATACTAGTGAATGCATGAGATGCGTTATGTGGATATGTAACATGGGAATACATATAATAGATCAGCGAAGAAAATAAACGCATGAACAGATCTGAATAACATTGGTTATTCATAATTCTAATAAAACCAACTAGAAATTCCAACCTTATCTATCAGTAACAGACTCATTTTTAGTCAACGACTTTTAGAAAATTAATCTCACAAACAGAACATACATGATGCAGTTTTTACCATATATACGTAAATAATTTAAGGAGCAATATGTTTATGTTACATTAACTGGATTAACCAATTGATCCTAACTTCAAAAGTTGGTTCTGGAAATTTCATGGCCTTATACCTGTTTCTTTTTCCTTTTCCTCCAACACAATTAGGGGTTTTTGCATATATACCCCTAAAAATTTCCATGTTTTCAAATTTACCCCTGAAATTTTGGTATGTGCAAAACCACCCCAATTCTCTCACATTGTGTTTTCCTATCCTTCCCACTTGACGATTTTAGTTTTCAAACATAAAATATCGTAAACCTATTGTTGGACAATTTTGACATTGTCCTGTTTACAAAGCATTGATGTTAAGTTGGAGGGGTAGAAAAACCCAATGTGAGAAAATTGGAGGGTAATTTTGCAAGATTTGGAGGGTAATTTTGCGAACATGAAAGATTTGAGGGGTATATATATGCAAAAACCCCAAATATATCAGAATAAAATTGCCACCTCTCCTCTTCCCACTGTGCTAATTCCATTTACTAACATAATATGAGGATTAAGCAATCATTTCAATAGCAGGAACAAAAACTTACTACTGAGATGGATAAAAGGATTCAGAAATATCCCACTCAAATAAGAAGAGACAAAATATTATAATCAATTTAATCAAGAAAGTTAACAAGCACAGATGAAAACCTCACCAAACTACTAATAAGCAGATACAGGTCACCATCGCCAACAAGACAAACTGCTCGAGTACCAAAGGCCACCAATCTGGAAGGTCAAGAGAACAATAATTAGAACAACTATGTTGAGAAAACCCGCAAAATGCCCCCATTGTCAAAACAGATATGAATGCTTACCAATTTACCCAATCTCAACACTGAACCACCATTGCACCTTTTCTACTTGAATTAACCTTCTTTCTATCATAATTATGTTCTTCTATGTCCTAATCCCAGATCTGGAGAAGTCTGCCAGGGTGTTACAATATGTGCCACTTCTTTACCAAATGGGAGCTCAAACATTGCAACGGCCAGTAGCAGCAACACTGCAATCTTTCCACAATTATCTCCTATCTCTTCAGCCATGGCATCTGCATCTCCTGTCAATAGCACCACTAGCTTCACCAAGCTCATTGGATCCAGGAACCTCCCTGAGCCCACTTCATCTACCTCTCATGGCACCAATACCCAAGCGCTCACCAAGAAGTTTATTCATGTAACCAGCTGTGGGTATGAGGAGACATCTAAATAGTGGAACTTACAACTTGAGTTGATACTACCACTAAAGTAATGGTGCATTATGCTGTAATAAGAAAGCCAATATACTTTAATAAGTATTTGTTGAGAATGCAGATTAAGGTAAAGAAATGAAATATATGCTGCTGCATTGAAACTAAAGTAAAAGAAAGCCAATATACTTTAATAAGAGAATGCAGATTAAGGTTTGCATTGAAACTATAAGTAAAAGAAAGCCAATATACTTTAATAAGTATTTGTTGAGAATGCAGATTAAGGTTAAGAAATGAAATATATGCTGCTGCATTGAAACTAAAGTAAAAACAATAAGACTGAGCACAACTAAAGCAAAAACTATAAGACTCAGCACAAAGTGCAGGATAAGGTAAGGTAATTTAGGAATTATTACCTGATTTGCAATTTAAGAAAATAAAAACAATTTGCACTAGCAGGAATCGAACACAGGTACCGTGGAAGGGTACTATAAAATTGAATATATGCATGGGCTGTTAAAATTAGAAAGAAAAAAAGCCCCCCTCAAAAACTAGAGAAAAAGGGTGAAAGATTCAGATTGTTCCTGCAATTCCCTGCACTGAGAATCATTCTTAGGATCCAACCACAAATGAAAAATATAGCATTGAAAACGCAGGGCAACCCATAGTTCAGTAGTGTGATAAATTTCAAGAAACGCATAGGAGTCTCATGTGATCGTCGAATACCAATGAAACTAAAGGGAAAATTCTATAGGACGGTTATAAGACCAACTATGCTTTACGGGTCAGAGTGTTAGGCAATTAAAAAACATGTTCAAAAAATGAGTGTAGCATAAATGAGAATGTTGCGATGGTCTTGTGAGTATATATTAAAAGATAGGATAAGAAATGAGTGTATCCATAGTAAATTAGAGGTTGCTCCTATTGAGGATAAAATGAGAGAGAATAGATTACGATGGTTTGATCATGTACAATGGAGAACCCTTAGTGTGCTGATTAGGAAAAGCGATAATATTAGCGTTAACGGAATTAGGAGATCTAGAGGTAGACCTACAATGACTTGGTTAGAAGCAATTAAGAAGGATATCATTAGGACTAACTTAACGGAGGACATGACCAATAACAGAACGAAATGAAAAAATAGGATTTATGTAGCCGACCCCAAACATTTGGGATAAAGGCTTGATTGTTGTTGTTGTTGTATGGGCACACTATCCACCTTATTTATTCAATAATTGAAAATGGGAAAATCAAAATGTAAAGCATGAACATGTAAATTCCTCAATCAAAATTAGATTGATCAATGTACATTAAAAAGAAGAAGAACAACAATGCATGAAACTGTTCTCAAAATATAGTACCTTTTGAATTGCAGCAAGCCAAACAGTTGCAGGTAAATGAGTCATTCTGGAAGCTTTGGTATCAGAATCTGAAAATTAGCCATGGAAAATATATAAGATATATAATCACTCTATTAAAATTCATAGTGAATAAGTTCTCTTCTTACAAATTCTTTCATTCTGTCAAAAAGCCTTGAGAAGAAAACTTGGCTCACCCAAGGGCTTGTCAAATAGGTGGCTAAATACTGTCACAACTATTATTCTAATAAATCTGACAAAGCAATTGAGGGGAAAAAACATTTTTTGGCGCATTGCTTTGCAAATGCAACTAAGAAGGCAAAGATAGGTAAAACAAGCTTTTCTTGAGAAATGAATGCAGAACAAGGTAAAGCAGTGAAAGATAAGATGCAGCGTTGCACCTAAAGTAAAAGCCAAAAACTTGTTCAAGCAGGGACCAGAATGCAGAACAAGATTTTTTTTTTTTTACATTATATGAGACATTGCAATTTTATGAAATAATAAAGAAAAATATGCTTGTACCAGCCGTGAATCAAACCCGGCTCTGTACTGTGGCAGGGTACTATTCTACCACTAGACCACTGGTGCTCTGATGGCAGCCAAACCAGAACCTTTTTAACATGATACTACATGTTACCAACTGTATGATCATGGCACCATCACTTGCAGCTGACCAAAACTTTCCAGCATATGCAACTCTTCATCATCATCATCATCAATATTGGCATCCTTGAGCTCAAAAGCAATTTCCTACATGCAAAAACAGTTTACTATGATCAAGCTTGAGCATGCATGTAGCAAGGAACCATGAAAAAGAAATTTAAAATGAGGCAGAACACATTGCTGGCTAGACTAGTCCTATTGCCAAAATGAAAAATATGTTACCCAATCATCAAGCTTGAGATAAGCATGCACATAGGGAGGAATCATGAAAAAGGTAAATTTCAAAAAACCTCATAGTCACAAAATTATAAAGAATTTCTTGAAAATGATGGAATTGGTCAAAGAAACATTTAAAGCGAAGAGGAATACACCAAAACCTTCTACTAAAATCTACATAGCACAAACAAATCTATTGTGAAACCGTGCTGTATCGAACATGTCAAACATGTGTATCGTGAGTATTGTTATGAATAATATCTGTTGTGTCCATGATCGTGCAATAGACTAACCAACTTTTGTATGCGACATCAAATTCAACAAAATTACCCAATTGCTACATTGAACTTTTACCACAACACAATTTTGTGAATCCATGAAAGGACAGTCATATAATAACCAAACTGACTTGCAACCTTTTGGAGTTGGTGCCATGAACACTTGTTGTCCATTCATCATCACTAAAAAACACATTAACTCAATTCAATTGTCAAATCAAAGTAAAACTTTTCATGCAGAATAGATATGTGGATGATTTCTATTGCAAAAACTTTTCATGCAGAATAGATATGTGGATGATTTCTTGTTGACATTAGTAATATTTGTAAGGGGTTATGTGTAAGTTGTGTAGGGCCTATATAAGCCCAAGAGAAAGATGTCTATTCTTTCTTTCCGCTACTCCATTTTGAGCAGGTGTGTATGGACACGTAGTCTGGTGTTGTATTCCCTGAGCTGACAAGTATTCCCCTGTTTTTTTTTTTTGCTGCCCTTACCACACCCGAACCCCTCACCACACCCGAACCCCTCCAAACCCCCCCTAGCCGCTGCCACCTCGAACCCCCCCTCTTCACCATGCTGGACCTCGAGTTTGGCATTGGTTCCCTCGACTCAGTCCTCGAACTGATGACAGGAAGAGTATATATCTCACATCGATGAGATATATAACTGTTGGATTCTAGTTTCCTCTGAGAAACGAGAATTTGTTGAAAGATCTTACTCTTGTTGTGCAGCAAAAGTGCTGCCGAAATTTTTCACTGCGCACAACAAGGGTTTGGAGAACAGGTGTTGGATCTGAAGCTTGATCGATGGAGGAGATCATCAAGAAGTTGAACCCTGCGGAGGTGTCAACTTTGATGAAGTTGATGAAGTTGTCGGCTGATGAAAG